ATATAACTTTTATAGTTGATCCTTATTTATTTCTTCAGGTTAATTGAATTTCACATTTGATAAGCTAGTAAATTTAGAACCCTAACCTGCAAGGGTTAATTGAAGCTCCTCTGAAAATGTCCTTGCTCACATCTCCTTCTGTCCAGGCTGATTATGCAGCATGTCATGGGCAACTCTACAGGGTACATTTCACTGTGCATGGCCTGTTTAAAGCAAGTCAGGCAGTCATTCTGCTTTGATTATTAAAAAATAAAAAGCTTAAGCTTCACACCCTATGGGACAATATGTCTGAAAAAGTAACCACACTGTGAGATCAAAGAAAATTCCAAATTTTGAGAAGGGATAGTCACGTCAGGTGCTGACCACCATCCAAATAAAGTGAATGAAGAGAATCAGTTTGACTTCAGTGAGAGTTGGCCCAGAGCCCATGATTTCTGGGAAAAGTTTAAAGATGCAGTTTGTTCCACTGGGAATTAGGGATATGAAAATGGATAATTAATATACTATGAAGGGAGAGAATGCAGGCTCATTCTACTTGTAGCGGAGCAAAGGCAGAAGCAAAGCACGTCTGAGTCAAAGCAGAGGATGCACAGAACAGCTCCAGTCATCTCTATGTTTTAAAGCAAACAGCAGGAAGCAGCAAAGTTCATGGAAGTCAGGCTGGAGATTACAAAAAATAATTAGATTAATAAAACCAAAATGCATAACACAAAGATATGCATTTAAGAAACAATAGCAAATAAATGGTAGAGCAGTTTACAGAACCTTGCTGTCCAGATTCACAGCCATGACTTCAAGCTTCACACAAACAAGTTATTTCCATCAGCCCTGGTGTGGAAAGGCAGTCCGTCTTCTGAGCTAGGAAGTCAAATGAAGCTAGCTATGATCCTCGTTTGCAACCTTCTCTTGTGTTCCATCTGCTAAAGAAATAGAAAAAAAATCAAACAAAACTATATCTAAGGAAAGCATATCTTAACCATGCTAGCCCCATGTGCTCACAGGGAAGGACAGAGTCCTCCTTTTTTTTTTCAAACTAACCTACAAACCTAAAGCTAGAGAAAATATATCTTAATCACACTAGACCTGTGTGCCACCAGCAAAGGAGACTCCTTCGTTTTTCTCAGCACACCACTTCTCACAACTTGCAATTCCCTTCTATTGTTGTATGATGGCGGCCTGGACTTCTCCTTGTTTAACCAAAAATCCCAGGCTGCTCAGCCTAACTGATAGATGGGAATTTTTCCTTAACTAACATTCATTTTTCACCCATTGGAAAATATCAGTTCATCACAAATGTCATCGGAAAGGCTTTTAGGTCTGGGATGGAACCGAGAGAAGACAACAGTCCAGGGATTAGGGCTCTGAATCAGAGACAGGAAGGACTTGAACTCTGGTGTCCCGTATCCCAGATGAGTACACTAACCACTAAGCTCTTCCAAGGCAGGAGGTGAGTCTGTCTCCTCTCAGAAAAATGTATGAAGGGCTGGATTTTGTTCCAACATAGTGCAAAAAAAAAAACAAATTGCAAAGCTTCTCCCCACCCCCCATACTTTAAATTGAATTCTTGTTCTCCAGCCAGCCCAGCTTGGTAATAGTTTTGTGTAAGTTAAATAGACCAGACACGTTTGTTCCTGTTGGTATTTAATAGATATTAAGTCACACAAAAAAAGAAAAAAAAAAAAAAACAGAACAAAATAAACCAGCCCAATCTACGTTTGGAGATATTTAAAGCTGAAGTCAAGGCCAAACCTAGAGAGAAGCAGTTTAACAGCTTAAGGTTTCAGAGCACTAAACAAAAATACATGCACCACTGAAAGCACGGTTACTATTGTGCGTGCCATGAACATTGGAGAGGGTATGTTTGGCCATCTCCCTTCAACAGGGGTCTAAAATCGCTGCCCATTTTTTCAGTTAACTTACCGGCAGATCAGGATTCAAGCGGAGGCTTTAGGAGTAGGAACGGCACGGGTGGGCTCGGTCGCTCTACCAGGCGAGAAGGGCGGGGTCGGCCCGCGCTCCCACTCCTCACCCAGGCGGAGAGGCACCGGCACCGGCAGCGGCAGCGGCAGCGCCCCGCCGGGCCCGGGGCCCGGGCCGGGGCCGGGCCCGGGGCCGGGGCCTGGGCCGGGGCCGGGGGCCCGGGTGGAGGCCGGGGCCTAGGCCGTGCCCGGGGGGCCCGGGCGGGGGCCGTGCCCGGGGCAGGTGGCGGGCGGGCGGCGCGGGCGGCCGGGGCCCGGCGCCACCATGGACAGCTCACTGGGGCTCGGCGGCCCCGCCGCCGCCGCCGCCGCCGCCCGCGGGAGCCCGGCCAGGCCCCGCCGCCTGCGCCGCCGCGGGGTGCCAGCCGCGGGGCCAGAGATAGCAGGGGCAGGCTTTATGAATTAATAACTGACTCTTCGCCCTCAAATCTTAAAATTACTCCTTTCGGTGTCTACTGGATTCTAGGAACCAGACAGAAGATTTGGCAAAACCCACCGCAGTTCCACACAGCTTTTTTTTCTTTTTTTCTTTTCTTTTTTTTTTTTCCTCTCCTCGAGCGCATTAAATTAAATGCATATTGTCTAAATAAACCGCGCATTGTGTCAATAGCTGAACTCGGGGAGCTCCGGCCGCCTCGGGTGGGAGAGGCAGCTCTGCTCAGCTACCCTATCATTGTTCAATAAAGGAGATTACTGTGCGCAGATGGAGTGCCACGAAACGTCTGGGTCTGGCTGGTGGGGGAAAAAAAAAAAAAAAAAAAAAAAAAAAAAAAAAAAAAAGGCTTTCTCTTCCCCACCCCCCCCCCCCCCCCCCAGGCAGCCTTTTCACCCAAATAGAAGATTACACCACGTCAGACGTGGATTAAGGAGTTTCTCATCCCCGACAGCCGCGGGAGAGCCGGAGGGGAAGAAGGCAACCTTTAGGAGGGCAGGGGACAGCAGAGCGCAGCGGGGCTGGGCTGCGGGCAGAGGAGCGTGCTCTAGAAGGTCTGCCTAAATCTGCGAGCAGTCGCGCTTGCTGCTCGCCGCCTGATAGCCTTGCCCTCCAGACCACCCTGGGAGCTTTGGGGAAAAAAAAAAAAAAAAAAAAAAAAAAAAAAAAAAAAATGCCGCCGGGACTTCGCACCTCGCCTGCGGAGAGCTGCGCTCGCTGGCTTTGAACCTTGCGAGATCACAGGGGTTGTGCAAGTCCCGGGGGATTTCTGGTCCTCGCAGGACGAGCCCAGCAATCGCTGCTCCGCCGCTCCCTTCCCTTCCCCGCCAGGCTCTCAAGCAGTCAGCGCGCCTGTGTTTTTCTTGCTGAACACCATTTTTTTCCACCCTGGGAAGGCTGGGGAGGTTAAACTCCCCGTCTGAACCGAAGACCTGGAGGAGTGCAACTGAGGTTATAGAAATCCGGGAGGAGAAATGACGAAAATGCTTTACTGTGAATAAAACAAGAGGGAGGAGGGAGAGGCGGAACTTCACAAAGGTGAAGGATGGGAAGTTTGCAGAGCTGAGGATTTAGCCTTGTCTCTGAGCACCGGGAGGGGGGTTAGTCATTATTTCCTTCTGCCTCTCTGAGGCTGCAGTGACACCTCCTCCCCAGTTAGCTGAACCTGTCCCACTTGTCGGCTTTTGCTCCAGGGGAAGGTTTCGCTCCTGAACGGATTCTGGGGTGGGGGGGAACCCGGTCATCCACCCTCCCGCAGCCCCTGGCCCTATTCCCCGCTCGGGAACTACGTGCCAAACCTGGAACAGGGACTTATCTTCCTAGCCAAGCTCCCAGGTCAACTTCCTCGTAGGAAAGCTGATTTATGCCTGTTTATACGTATGGAAAAAGGAGGCAGAAGCCAAGCGCGGCATCCCTCCAAAATCTCATTGTCTTTTAAGGCGGGAAGAGGGAAGAAAAGGGAGGCAGAAAACCTAAAGTGATAAGGTTTGCCTTGTCGCGGCCGAGAGGGCTTGACCAGACAGGCAAACACAGGATTTTACCTTCCCTCCCCGCGGCTGAAGTTTTTTCCAGGTCCTGCAAAACGACCGGTCAGTCCCGGCTGGGGGAAAACAACCAGCCGCCGCAAGCGCCTCGCCTTGGCGGGAAGCCCTGCAGCAGCCGAGGCCCCGGCAGGTGAAACCCGAATAAAACTGTGGCTTTTCCCCGCTCGGGGACACGGGGACAGCAGTGCCCGGGTGGTGCCCCATGCGCGGAGCCATGCCGGGCGGCGCGATTCCCGTCCCCACACCTGTGCCAAAGCGCCGCTCCTCTCGTCCTTCCTCTCGTCCACCCTCATCCTCTCACCTCACACACACACACACACACCCCGCCTCGCTCCCCCCCTCCGGGGCCGGGGGACACCCGGAGCTGGCAGGGAGGAGCGACCGGGGCCGGAGGGGTGAGATGCTGCAGGTGACGGCGGGTCCCCCCCGGGAGCCGCTTCCTCGGGTGCGCATCCCCCGCTCCATCCTGCGGGGAAGGGTGGTGGTGGGGGGTGTGTTTGTGTGTGTGTTTAAACCCTGGTAGAGGTTTTTTTTTTTTTTTTTCCCCCCGTCCTGGCACGGAGGAGGGCTCAGGCTTGCGGTGAGACTAGGTACCAGGAGGAATTTGCTCAGGGGTTAAGCATTTGTATAGGTGGCAGGAGAAAAAGCACTGCGCCGGTTGCTGCAGATGACAAACAGTCTCCGAGGAGGGGGGGGGAATGGGGTGGGAGGGGAGGCGAGGGGGAGGGCATGGTATCATGATATGATAGTAAGTCTCCTAAACGGGTTTGGCACTGCTCAGTTCCTGCCATATTGGCAAAACCATAGTTGGGTGGTATTTTTTTTTTTTCTTCTCCCTCTCTCCCTTTTTTTTTTTTTTTTTTTTTTTTTTTTTTCCAAGCCCACTGAGGCAGAGATGAGGCAAACTCAGCCATAGGAAGGTGGTTAGTGATGTCACAAGTTTGGTCTTTTCAATAAAAGCAATAGAGAAGGGTCTCCCTCACTATATATATTAGGAGAAGCTTCTGTTCTTCATAATAAAAAGAGCAGCAAGGGAGAAAAGCACCTGCTTTTCACACCCTTTATTATTAATCTGCTGCAGACAGAATAAAAACTCTGTAGGGCTGGATTTCTTTTGAAAAGTATTACTTTTTTGATTTATTCACTTTTTTTTGTTTGTTTGTTTTGTTTTCTTCTTCTTAAGGATAGAACATAGTTTTGGAAGCGATTGCTGAGAAGATCAACCACTGTTGGCCAGGGTGATCTCTGAGAGGCACAGAGGGCTGTAACTCAAGGAAAAGGTGAAGTAATAAATTGTGAAGAAATTTCAGTATTCCAAGTTTATAAAGGCGATTTATTCTTCCTGACTCTGTAAGGGCTGGGGTGGTTTGGTTTTGGTTGGTTTTGTGGGTTGGGTTTTTTTTTTGTTAGTTTTTGTTGTTGTTGTTGTCGTTTTTTTCCTTTATTTCTGGGGGAAAGGAAATTCTCAAAGTATTTGATGGACATCTTACCTTTAACATGAGCAATAGACCTATGAGCGTGTGGGGGCTCTTTTCAGGGGATCTCACAATTATTTTTAATTAGTCGAAAGGGCAGTGTAAATCAAAGAAGCCTATTAGCTATACATTTTAATTTATAGCCTACCAGGTGTTCAGGGAATATATTTACAGCATAAAGGATTTAATGTTTGCAGCATGATTTCTATTTCAGATCTTATATTTTCGGTTTTATTTGCCTGTGGTGTGGTATGAGATTTGGCTAAGCACCTGGGCTTCTAAATTGTGGCAGCAAGTGTCGTTTACCGTAAAATAACCTGCAGGTAGAAAAATGCTTTGCTCTGCACCTCAACTTTCTCCAGAAAGCGTTCCTTAATCCGAGGAGAGGGTGAGAATGAGCAACCAAGCCGGCACACCTCGGTGTTTTGTTGCGGCTTGTGGGGCTGTTGGGAAAGCACTTGCTGCAAATCAGGCTGCCTGTGTCAGAAACCAGCCACCCCTCCGTACCCGGGGGGCAGCAGCAGGTCTCTCCGGGGAGGTTTCGGCGCGGAGTCCCGCGGAGGGGTGAGGGGTCCCGGGGGGCTGCCGGGACGGAGCCGGCGGCCCCAGGTGCTCGTTACCGCCCGCCCGGGCAGGGCCCATCCTCTGCCGCCGGGATGGAGCTTGCCTTGCCAAGCCGGCCCCCTTCGAAGAGCCGCCCTGGGGGTGAGGGCAAGGGGGGCACCAATACACCCCCCACACACCCCCACACCCCCCCCACCACACCTCGGCTTTCTCGCTGTACCTTTCTTCCCACCAGCCGCCGGCAGTTTCTTGAGCACGCAGGCTGGATTAAGGGGTGGACTGTGGTACCTTTGGTTTTTACAGAAGTGTTTTCCGTGATGGAAAAAAATAGGGCGGGTGGTGGTGGTGTCTCCGCGGGGCTGGCGGTGGGGCGCGGGGGGCTGCCCCCCGCTCCCCCCGCAGCCCCGCTCCGCTGCCCGCCTCGCCCGGCAGCGCAACCTGACACATATGTGCAACGCCCCGGCCAGATTGACGGAGGGCGAAGTGGAAGGCGAAAGAGGGAGAGGAGGAGAAAACTTTCCACTAATTTACTTTTTTGGCCAGGAGCGCCTGTGTTCATAGACTGCGAGTCCTTCCCCCAGCCCTCCCCCTCAGCAACCCCCCCCCCCCCTCCCCTTTACTAGCGCACAATTAACATCATTAGGAATCAACCCTCCAGCTAATAGGGGAACTGCGACGAACAACGGTAGGTGTGTGAAAGGAAAGGCGGCGAGGATCCCAGGTTGAGCTTTTGGGGCTTGATCTAAAAAGTGCCCCCACTGATGGGGGGGATCGCCCTTTTCACGGTGCTGCGGGAGGGGAGACGCCGACCTAGGGGTAAACACAAAAAGGGGGGGGTGGAAAGAGAGAGAGAGAGAGGAGAGCCCGGCTGTAGAAGATGCGAAGAGCTTGGACGGAGTCCTCAGGGTCTGCTGAGTGCATGTGCTGTCGGGTGTTTCCCTTTCTTCGCTCCTTTTTGATTCCGGTCCCGGGAAGTGCTGATTTCTAGTCTCCTTTTTGGCCGTGGGGGTATCCCGCCCGGGCTCTCGCTCCCTCCGCACATGTTCCGAGGGCGCCATCTCTTTGCAAAACCCCTCCGTCCTCCCGCAGGTCTCCCAGAGGCTGCAGCCGGGGCGTGGGAAGGCGGCCGGCCCCGGGCCAAGGCAACCTGCGGAGCCAAACATGCCGCCCAGCCCCTGAGCCGCCCCGGGCGCCCGCTCCGCTCCGACCCCTCCGGCTCCCCAGCCAGCCGGGCAGCGCTCTTGGCTCCGGTTCCCTTCGCCTTCTCGCAGCTGGGGACCCAACTTTCCGGAAGCAGAGGACGTGAACCTGAGATTTTTTTTTTTTTTTTTTTTTTGCAGAGGTATACTTAAAGGCAGATGTATAGATGCATTTCCCCCCCCGCTTCCTCCCAGCCCCTCCGCCTGAATCTGTGTGTCTGTGTGTCTGTGTGTGTCGCCGCGCGTGTGTTTACAGAGACGAGGGTAGCTGAGCTGACTTTTGGGAATCTTTCCATATCTGCAGAGAGGGCTTCTCCAGTAACATAAAGCTCCGAGACAGCGGCTTAGCGGGCTGGATTTGAACAGGGCTCAGGGAAACAAATGGACGCGCTCTCTAATTCAAATACGAGCTAGGTGATTTATTTTTTTTTTTTTTTTGAACTACTATTGAGAGAGATCTTGTCTCCGGGCAGCGAGAGACAGAGAGAGAGGGAGGGAGGGAGAGGCAGACAGCAGGAAAGGGAGAGAGACGGAGCGAGCGAAGTTTGGAAGAAGTGAGCCGCTGCCGGGAGCTCAGCAAGTTTGTTTTTCCCTCTCAGCCTCGGAGCTGGTAGAGCCGAAAGCGGGGACTGCTCGGGGACGGCGCTGGCGCATGTGTCCCTCGGGACTGATCTCCCTTTCCTTGCAGGTTTTAAGACCCGGAGGATACAATGTTCACTAAACTCTTCCAGCAGTGGAGTTTCGCCGTGTTTCTGCTGAGTTATTCCGTGCCCTCTTACGGGAGATCGGTGGAAGGGATCAGCCGCAGACTGTGAGTTTCTCTTGGTTTGTTGGTTTGCTTCGGTTTGTTTCGGGGTTTTTCCCCCTCGTTTCGGCGACGGTGCGGGTGGGGCGGGAGGTGGCCGGGTCCCCCCCCCCCGGCCGGCAGCGGAGCGACCCCGAGATACCTGCCCCAGGTGCTCCCCGGCGGCACCTGAGCCCCAGGAGGAAGGCGTTGGGGGGCAGGGAAGGGGCTCTTCTCCCGCTGGCTGGCCTTCCCAAGCTTTTGGGAAGGAGATATTAAAGCCGAGGGTCTCTTCTTCCGAGGGGAGCGGCGATGCAGCTGCGCGCTGGCCCCGCATGTGCCGGTGCCCCCGCACCTTTCCGCGCCCTGGGTGGGTGCGAGTCGGGAGCATCCCATCCCGTTCTGTCAAACTGCTGTCTCTTAGGCTAAAGAACATAGACTTCTTCGGCACTGGCACGGAGCCAATATTGATAAAGGAACACGAGGTAGCGAGGGCCATCATGAAACTGAAGCAGTGAACAATTTCTTTGGATTTCTGCCATTTCAGCACACACACACAAAAAAAAATATCAAAAAAATTCAAAGGGAGTCCGGTATCTGACTTGGAGGCAGAAGCATGTTTTTTGATAAATTATAATGTAACTTAAGAGAGTCTGTTCAGGAAATGACCTCTTTGCTCCTTCCAAAATAATCAGCACGGTTTATACTAATACCCCTACGCAAAGTGCAGAAGAGAAGCCACTGGGCTGATGTAGGAGCAGCTGTCTCGCACATCTAACTCACTGGCTTTCACTGGACTTTCGTCAGATTTCCTAAGGAAGAAACACCTCAGTTATACTGTGGAGGACTGTATTGTTGCTAAATTCAAAAGGAAATCAAACTGGAGAAAGAGGGCTGGAAAATCCAGTCACAACTTATAGGGAAACATGACACAGCAAACAAATTCAGATGGGTTTCCTTGTAAATGTTTTATTACATACATAAGGACAAGATCTCCAAATAGCACTTCCTCTGCCATTTAAGCAACAAAAAAAATCCCCCAGGTGAAGTGACTTCAGACACACCTAAGTTTTGGCACCAGGCAGAGAGCTATTACAAATCTCCTACAGCAAATTGTGTTGAACATGTTATTGCTACAGTGTATTCTTCCCAGTCCATTAATGCTTAGCTAGTTTGTACTCCTGCAAATCATTGTTGAGCTATTTCTTTCATTTGAGATAATTTCCTTCTATTTGGATATAGAGGATCCAAACTTTAGTTTCAGAAATAACAAATGAAAATAATTGAAGTACAGTCAAATGCTGCTATTTTCTTGGCTAGGAAACTCTGAAATGGATCTAAGCCATTTTTTCTTTGGTTTTGTTTTTGAGTTTTTTGTTTGTTCGTTTGGTGTTGGGGTTTTGGGTTTTTTGGGGGTGTTTTTTGGTGTCTTTTTTTTTTTTTTTGAAAGTTAGATTTGCTAAGAAATACTCTCTTTTTGAAGTTAGCGTTGATCTATCACTTGTCTTTAAAGGTCAGGATTAGACATCTTCCCAACATCCGTATTCCATCCCGACAGGGGGGGAAAAAGTGGAAGTTAAATAGTCAAAATCCATTTCTCAGCTCCCTCTTTGCTATGGCATGTAAAACACACACAAGAAACCAGTCAGCTGTCAGTTAGTGGCATTCACGTAGTTTTGTTTGTGGGTACAGCACAAACACAGACACCACACTCAAACATGTGTCCTGTTTTAATATCACCACAAACCATTCCTAGAGTTAATGGTTAATAACTCACTTAAGCCTAGAGATGTTTTTTTTCAGTCAAAGGTTTAAACCAATAACGGATGAAATACTGAAGCACATTATTATAACCATGCAAAAATAATCAAAATGACATAGGCCTGGTTCTACAGACTTTACTGAGGCAAATCTCCCATGGAAAGCAATAGCAAATTGTACCAAGAAAAGATTGCCAGACATATTATTTGTTATAGAAATGCTTTAGCTGCTAAAGAACTTCTGAGAAACCCAGTAATGCCTCAAAGTGAAATTAGATATTTTTATCAGCGTGCCCAGACACTGCAGCATCATGTCCCCAGATCTGTTCAAAATATTTTTCCTAACCCTGAGATAGGTTGAGCAGCTTTCACTCCCTTTGGAGCCAGTGACAAGGGCACACAGTCTTGCAAAATGCAGACAGAGAGCTGGCTGAATCCTTTCCAGTTATTTTGCTGAACTTATGATCAGACTCAATGTGAACAGTCAAGGATAATAACGGTTAAATAAGAGCAACTCTCTGAGACAGAAAGTTGTCGCTTGAAGAATGTTGCCTCACAGTGATGCTGGATATCTAGGGAAAGAAAAAAAAATGAAGAAGGAATGTGCCTGAAAAGAACAGCTTATCTGTACATGAAGTCAGGATAGTCACAAGTCATAGATTTCTACTGTTTTCCCCATAATGAGACATTAAGTGCATAGTGTGCTTGAATACAGTAATTCGTTTGGACACCGGGCAAATACAAACCATCAACATCCTTCTCTCAAAAGTGCCTACCACATGTAAGCTTAGCATTTACTGCACTTGGTTTGGGTACAGTCTTTTTCCTTGAATGAGAGGTGCATTTTATAGAAGGCTGGAAGGGACCTCTAGTGGGTCATCTTAACCCTAACAGCCTAAGATTTTTTTACATATCGTACCCAATATGTGAATGCAATCATTCCAATTTCCATTGCCTTCCTACTCTGTGCGTGGGGGTGAGATACTGTTGATATCTCCATTATGAAGCACATCTTACATCAGCCTTCTTGGGCAAGTGTTTTTCCCTGATTTACAAACATAGGAGATGTTTGAATAACTGAGGCAGAAGGAGGCAGAAGGTCAAAGAGATACGTATCTACCACATCTTCTCTGTTTTAAGGAGATTTTTGATCTAGAGCATACAAAGGAAGTTGGTAGGCAAAACGTAATCCTTAAGTCTGGCTGAGTAATGAAAGTCATGTGAAAAGTAACACTATGTAATGTTATACAATCATCTGGAATAGCAGAATGTTATTTGGGGCCAGACTTGATGCTAAATATCATACAGACATTTAAACAGAAACCCACCCTCTTTGGCACACTAACCCCTCACACGTCAATCCCCGCAATATTTTGGAAATGCATACTCATTCAAGATGTAGACCTTGAAATGCTCTTTGACTGCCTTGTGTGTACTGGAACCAAATCCTTAGGTTTCATCTCTGTAAAATGGAATAGCTTTTCAATCAAGAGCACTTTAATAACAGGCTTTAGAGATTCGAGATTTTGTCACAGTGGGTAAATTGACCAAATACACATTACAGGATTAAGGCAGCTTTAGGTTGACTGTGATAAAAGGAATTATCTTTGGTAGTTTACAAGAAGCAGTAGGAAAGCTTTGCTCATCACACGAGACACACTGGTTTAGACTCAGTAAAGCACTGAGATTTTGTATGCTTTTTTATAAACCAGAAGACTGAAAGGAGAACTGCATTTCCCATGCAAATATCCTGGGAAAATAGATGACTGAAGCTAGGAATGTAACGTGAGCCACAATGGACGGCTTGACAAGCAGCACAGGAGTATGCCACTCAGAGGAGTCCAAGGTGCTAGTTTTATTAGCAAACTTGCAAATCAGACTGACCTTAATGAGAATGTTGTTAAGAGATGGCTATTGGAGAGCTTCAGGGAGCACACTGGTCAAAAAAATTCTCCTGGGGGAGATCTTGAGCTTGTGCTAATGGTCACAGCTGCACTGATGAGAAAGAAACAATGTGGGTTCAGCTCAGTATTATCACATTGCATTTTTGCTTAAGGACATTGAGTTGAAGGGTATCAAATATTTGCCCTACACCCTGAAGTCATCCAAAGCTGATTTTGGGACACTTAAAACATAGACAGCATTTGGTCAAATGCGTGTTCACAAACCTGAGCATATCTAGGCCTGATTTTGAGCAAGAATCCCTACTGTATGGCTGCATGGAAAAACAACAGTCATCTATCAGTCTCATTGTGGAATGAGGGAAAGCTGCTGATTGAATTTTACACTGAATAATAGAGATACAGTATCACTTGAACCCAATACTCAAAAACCACAGCTCTACAAAGACAAAAAGTGAGGGGGATACTCTTAAAGCAATGCTACTTGAAGTTGCCAATTTCCAGTAACTATTGTTGATTAAATCACAAATCTAAGGAGTTTGGCTGAAGGGACTGGGAAAGATAAATTGCAGAATGCTCCCAGTCATTCAGCATACTGTCTTTGTCCACCACATTTTGAAACCTGGTAACGTAGCAAGATAATTAGGTATGGGTCTGAAGGAAGGAATATTCACTCGCAGTTATGTGTTTTTCACCCACATGCAGAAACAACTTCTCATCCAGCTAACTGATCCAATGATTATACGACAGGCAAGGCAGTGAATTCATTTTCTTTGGCCAGTAAGAACCCGGTCACATGCAGTACCCTGATGCAAGATGAGAGGATACATAGCCAATCTCTGCACATCGAAGTAGGACAATTGGAAGGATAAACCGTATTATAACATTCATGGGAACGCAGCTAAAATCCCAGCTTGCACTCTTTCTGTGGTTCACAGAGCAGCTGTGCGTCTATCCCACATCAAGGAAAAAGCATGTATTTTCTCATGGTTATTTATTATCCAGGTGCCACTTGTATCTTCTTTCCTCAGATGTTTTGTACCTTCTTTGCCAGTACAACATCTCTAAAAGACAGAGAGCTAACCATCTCCCAGTTTCTCAGAAACAAGACAGAGGTTAGTGAACCAAAAGGTCATGAACTCTGGAAAAGTACCAGAGAGGCCCACTCAAACAAGCCAGGATGCTCTTGAAGAAGATCCAGTGAAGAGGACTAGTGTAAAACTCAGAGAGCACAGCAGACAAGAAAATCGGCCCCAAAAGTTCACGCTTAAAGGAATACTAGAAAGGCTTCTAAAACCATAATAAGGCACAAGTGGCCAAGTGGTAAAATCAACAGGAGTGGCTGAGGCTCATCTCTGCTGATGCTCAGGCTGCCTCTCTGGATAGCTCATTAGGGACTGAAGTGCCTATGTTTTAGGCACCCGAATGAAAACATTTTTCCATTATGTTCCTGCAATTGTGCTTACTTAAATTTAGAAATGAAATGCACTTTGATGTAATTATTTATGTTTTTGAAGTACATGACTGAGCAGAAGAAAATTATTAGAATGGTGCTGTATAAACACTGCTTCCGGCTTCAGCACGAGTACTTGTTATTGCCTCTCTTCTTTGACCACAGTGCTCCATTACTGACCCTTTAGTTTTCCTATCTCTGACAAGTGCCTTCCTGCTTTTACTGCCTGAAGTGTGATATATTAAGGGTTGCAATGCTTTCCTAGAACAGAGCTGTGACTAATCCAACTCCAGGTCCAGTGGTGTGTGGTTGGTCAGCTGAGAATTATTACTCGCTTTAGGTCTCTCCCTTCTCTGTAGGGAGCAGCTACTCTGAGAAGCAGGACTTGCTCCAGCAGTCTGACTTAACTGGACGTCCCCAAGCCTGGGAGCTGGTACACAGTCCCTGTGGCCACTGCTGCCAGAGGAGAGAGGAGCTCTGCCAAGCACTGGGCAATAACCAAATCCTAAATGATTTTTTCCCCCTCCCCTCTTCTCTTCCTTTAGCAAACGGGCTGTATCAGAGCACCAGTTATTGCATGACAAGGGCAAGTCAATCCAAGACTTAAGAAGAAGAATATTCCTTCAAAATTTAATTGAAGGTGTCAACACTGCAGAAATCCGTGCAACTTCTGAGGTTTCACCTAACCCTAAGCCTGCTACCAACACGAAGAACTACCCTGTCCGATTTGGTAGTGAAGATGAGGGCAGATACCTAACTCAGGAGACAAACAAATCACAGACCTACAAGGAGCAGCCCCTGAAGGTTTCAGGGAAGAAAAAGAAAGCAAAGCCTGGAAAACGTAAGGAACAAGAGAAGAAGAAGAGACGAGCCCGCTCAGCTTGGCTAAATTCTGGCATGTATGGAAGCAGTGTGACCGAGAGCCCACTCTTGGACAACTCTGTTACTACACATTATCACACTTTAAGGTAATTCTGATATATCCTTTTGGGGGGCACACCATATATTTACTGAAATTGTTATCCTTTGGTGTGAGAGGCCAAGGCCTCACTCAAACCTGGAGTAACAGCACACCTTTATGCTCAAAACTGGGTCATGGCTTTTCAAGCAGTGCACAATCTCAGGTGCTTTCTGGAGGTAAGCATGTACCCTTTCCACTTTGCACTGGTGACAAAGTCTTCCTTTCCTGTGACAAACAATCCAGGTAAGCCACTTATTGCCAAATTGAGCTTCTTGAAGCTGCGTGAGTAGTAAATAAAGTTATTTCTGCAAAAAGAAAGCACATCATAGCCATTAAAATTTCCTTTCCTGTTTTAACCATAGTGTCTCTCATGTCAGATCTTGGTCCCACACTTGGGCCTCAGCAGATTGAAAGCTCTGAGTTTTATTTAAGTCTCTGCATCTATAAAATGGTGAAGTTTTCTTTCCTCCCTCTCAACGCCTCCCCTTTTTGGCAACTTTCCTACCCTTACTTTACAGTTTTTTATTTTACTGTTTAACCTTAGGGGAGAACACGGAAAATTTCTCTCTTAGTAATATCTGCAAACAACGCAGACCAGCCTTTCACCATAAAATTTTCCCTGCCATTAGGACTTTTTAATTCAGCTCCATCTTTTTGCCAGCTCGTGAAACAATTACGTTGCTGCTGAAAAATGTTGAGCATTGCTTTTGGAGAGAGACGTGCTTCCCTCATGTATGACAATGAAGCATTTTCAGGGCAGTGGCAAGCTGAAGGCTTTAGCCTAGGTGCCCCAATTGATTCATCCACTTGCAGTCATCTCAGCTTAAGTAGAAGTCTGAAAACTTGCAGACAAAGCCAAGGAGTTTACTCCTCAGTTCTCCTCAAATGTTTGCATTTTCAACAGCAAAAAAAGGCACCCTCTTCTGTCCTCTTCCCCTTCACTTTGGCAGAGTAGAGACGTAAGAGAAGTGCCACTTGCTCACAGTAAATCCCTTAGAGACACCAGCTGTGAGACTGACTAAAATCCAGTCTTGGGTTAAGCTTTACAGGCCACAGTTTGCAACATACTCCATCACCTCAACTTCTGCTGGTATCTACAGGAGTTACTGGCATTTGGGACTAGGAATTCAGTGTCCCAGACCACAAACCAGTTAGCATGGCTGTAACAGTCAGCAGTGAAGTAGGAGAGGCTGGTTTGTCTCAGCACCTTAGGAAATACGTGCTCTGGGACTCTGGTCAGCAGATGCCTGATGCTTCAACAAATATTAAGGAACTGTGGTGCCCAAGAAACATTAGTCTTTGGCACATAGAAATCTTGACTGTAGAGAAAAAACTTCCTAGGGCATTTCAACTGTTATTTCTTTTTCTTACTCCTCTGTCTTTGGTTGTATATCCAGTGGGATATGTAAGAGAAATAAAGGTACAACCCTGTTGATTTTCCTAGTTCAGCCTGTTTCCAGTACGGTTGGATGGCTGAAGGCAGTCAGCTTTGCTGTGCAGTCCAGACTGCTGAAGGAGTCTAGCTTTACCTTACTGATACTATTGCCCAAGATGCAGTATTTCTGCAGAGCAAGAAACAGATTCCTAAAGAGGACCTCTATTTTAGATACTTAATTGAAGATGACTAAACAAAGAGAAGCCATAAAACAGGAAATCTAAATTCCTCCTTCACAAGTACAGAGCATAGTGTGTTGGTTCAGCTCTTAAGAAACTGTGAGTATATGAACTTGTAGTTATCCTAGTAGGCTGGCGAAAGTTGTAATTTCTAAACTTTAAATGAGAGCAGGTCCCAACTCCCTGACATGTAATTTAGACAGGGGGAGTCAGGTTCAATGAAGTTGTCAGTGTGGTCATTGGCACAAAGCGGACAAGCACATTTTAGATGGAGGGATGACCACATCTGAGTGAGGTTGATTCCTCAGCTGTACTGAGCTAAATCAGGAGCTTCTACTTTATCTGCTGGTGGAGGGCAAGGAAGGTGTGTGCAGACAGGATTTCCGTATGCTACGCCAGGTGAAGCTGCTTTTGTAGCACCCATAAGGCTAGCTGCAGCTTAGGAGAAGCATCGTGGATGAATGTCAAGAAAGTGCAAAGATAAACTTTAAACATGCTTTTCACTGTATCTTTATGCTTCTTTTCTGCTCAACACACTGAATTAAAATCCTCATACCAGTTCCCTGTGCCCAACCTTGATCCCAAAATTTTGAGTTTAGGTCAGAAAAAAGACCAAAAACAATGTGCTCTCTAGATCTTTTGACTTACTATGGGAAATATCTCATAAAAGAAACCAATCTTGCAAAATCTGGGACCAAATTACAGAAAGCAGCATGCAAGTAGTCATTAGTACAGAGCCTATTGTCAATATGTGGCTTAGCTTAAATTTTGAAACAAAGCCTAAAATCCAAGACAAATTGAAAATGTCACCCTCTTAAACATAGGCCTGTGTAGGGCAGACACACATATACAGTCATGTTGTATGATTTGTGCGCCATTATTACACATATTGTAATACAGCCTGAATACGCCCTAGTATTACTAGTTAATTATTAAGGAGTTTCATTCTAGCATTTCCATTCCAGGCACTTAAAACATTCTTTCTCATGGACATTGCAACTGTATTCCCTTTGCAATTCAATTAAACTGTTATTACCTAATTTCCTAAGAAACCTTTCAAATGAGTAAACTCCCTCTTAAATGTGGTCTCGCTTTCAATGTGCACATAGCCGCCCCCCCCCTCTTAAACTCTCAAGGATTTGCTTTTTTCTGTGTCTCACGCCCACACACGTCTGCCATGTGGAATGCTACCCGTGGCTTCGGTGATCAGTCCAGCAACACAGCGTATCCCTCTCCATCCTATAGCTTCACATTCCACCCTGTAGCTGTTTCCCAGGGAACCAACGTGCATTACAGAGCTGTGCCGTTCACAGGCACAGAAAGGAAAAAAAGCCCAACCCAACCCTTCAGCATTTCCTGCAGCACTGCTAAGTAACCTAAGATAATACTGTAGTATAAGTGGTATACTGAGAGGATAGGAGCAGGCTATTTGCTGCATTTGTCCTCATGCCTTCACAAGGAAGGGAGGAGTAGAGAGTGCACACCGGGCTGCCAGCATCCCTCAGAAAACTCCCAAACCTCAGGACTGCAATACAGCTGCCTGTTTCAGCTTGGACTGAATGCAACAGGAGTCAGAGCTTAACAGGAGGAGATGCTCGTTTTCTTTCAGGATCCAGCTCTCTGGCTGACAGAGGGGAAGGTTCAGGATTATAGTCTTTCACACTGTCAAGGGTCTGTTCACCTCAAGACCTGAGCAGCCTTTAACTGCATGGCTACTGCATATACTCGTGTACATGACACCCCAGAAATATATACCTCTAAGCTGTACAGAGCCTTATCTAGCAGGTGGTCCATCAGTAGGGCAGATAGAGCAAATAAGCGCCCTGAGACTGTTCTACTCAGAAGCCTGGCATCACACCCAAGCGCTTAAGGCAGCAGGGGCATGATCGCCACAGTGTTCAACAAGGACTTTCTACTTCTGATATTGAAACCAAGTTTCTCATTTCTCCAACTGTATTTTTTTCTTTTTAGCACTTGGCATATTTCTTATAGGTTGGTACTATTCTTCTGTCTGTAGGACTCAGGAATCTTCTTGCCTAAGGCTCTAAAGAAAACTACAGCCCCTTCCTATTTCTCTGAGTGTACAATACAGCAGAATAGGCGGACTCAGTGTTGCGACAGGCTGCAGGTCTTCATACTGCTAGATGAGATGCACCGAAGAAAATATCCTAGAGGTCTTGAAAAGATGCCCAAAGCTGTAGCATTGTTAAACAGGCCCGATTACTACAAGTGTTTACTAGCAAGGCATACCTGTTATAGTCTGTGGTACTCTTGCTATTAATTTTATGTCCATGTATTTGAAGTGAAAATTAATTTTTCTATTTTTTCTGTCCTTTTTGTCTTTTCAGGAGGCGCTGATATTTTCAGCAAGAAATTTTTGGAAGACATATTGCAGTATTCTGTAATAGTGAACGTATGGGAAGTATTAAAATATTTATTACCTGTAAATATTGTAAATGCTCAGAATAAAACCTTTTCCCCCCATTGCTCTCTGAAACTGCACATTTGGTTATTGTGAATTTTCTTTTTTTTTTTTTTTTTTTTTTTTTGCTAAGGCTAAGACAATTATTATTGTCACATTTACCATAATTTATTTTGTTGACCGGTGTATTTATTTTGTGAACGTATCTTGGTGCTGCTGACTTTCTATATTTTTTGTAACATAATGCACTTTAGATATACATATCGAGTACATTGATAACTGACATAAAATGTTCCTGTTTTGTTGTTGACTTCAGTGAATGCCTACATACAATTGTTCAAACTGATTTTCCTTTGTGCATGTATAATAGCAGTATTTTAAAATTTGTAAAGAATGTCTAATAAAATATAATCTAATTAAATCATGACTCAGAGGGAAAAATGTGTCCTTTAGGAGTTTCAAGAGCAGGAACACTATTTTTTTTCTTTACTACATTCGAAAATCGTTTTAAATTTAATGTGTTTACATTGGTTCAAACTCCCACATTTTCACATTAGCTTTTACTTAAAAATCACTCAGACCATATTTTGTTCCAGTGCTCTATTTCAGGGCGGCTAAGTTGCTGAACAACCTGGGGGTACTGCCCGACCCCGCTGCAGGGAAAGTACAATTCTCAACCTTCCCAGCCCCCAGCCCTGCAAAGGCTGAAGCCTTGTGCTCTCCAAACGAGAGGATGTGAAAAGCAGCCCCAGGGGCTGCGTCACTTACTACACTCTTGGAAGGTGCTCACATGTCACACCCCACAGCCTCGTTCAAAAACAGACAGATGCTCAGCATCCTCAGCTCCCACCAACTTTCCTCAAAGATGCAAATGTCTACCACATGAGTAGAGTCGCAGCTCTTCGTACTTTGCAACCACCTTATGTTGACACAGGGCGAGGGAAAAAAGCGTTTCCTGGGCGATTATATAAAGGAAAGAAAAAATAGAAACTGCAGTAGGTCACACATCACTGGGTACTGCTGCATTACGTGAATAACTTTGCCTCTCTCCCATCACAGAGATGCCTCACATGGCTTTGTTTCCAAAAAACATCTGCATTAATTTTGTTTCTGCCTTATACCCATAGATAATCGCAGTTAAGGGGGAGACCGCCTTTGTTACTTCATGGCCACTGGCTGAGAAAGCAACAGAAAAAAAAATTATGATCTATCACTTTTTTTAAAGTGAACATATGAGTCCTGCTTCCTCTCCCTTTCGCTACCACCCACATGTTAATCGCAGCAGCTGCTGTGGGGGCAACCTGAATAAAGGAGATTGTTTCACGGACATATCTGTACTTTGCAAAATCCTACTGAATTTCCTCTGTCTCACTCCTTTAACATCAGCAACATCAGAAAAATGCAAGCATGGAAAAATAAATTACAAATCCTGGGAATTTTAAGATAGTTCTTGTAATTGTTCCTCCATTCTGTAGTTGCCAAACTTTTGTTTTTTATTCTTCTTTTTTCTTAAGTGCCATCTTTTCCCATTGCCGAAGTACAGCCATTGTATAATATAAACCAGATGTATTTCTGCTCTCTACCCAATCTTGTAGAAAACTACCTCCAAGAAAGCACTAAAAGCAAGAAGATTTGAGAAAAACTTACCCATCCTCCCTCATCCACTTTGCCAAAGTGTGAAATCCAACGCTTCATTATGTCCAGTTAATTACTACAGCCATAAAGCACATGCATATTGTTTCCTTTTCAGATGAAAAATATTATACATGATGAAATGTAGCACAACTTCAGGGTTGCATTAAAGAAAAAGGCATGGTTCCTGCACATTTTCAACTTGGCCTCCTTGCACATCCTGTCTATTTATAGTATCCAGCTAATGCTTGGATTTATACAACTGAAGTTAACTGCAATATATTCAGATGATTTTGTATCTCAGGATTACCAGCATATCCCAGCTGGAACTAAAACCTAAAACTACAGTGGGCAAAGGCAATTTATCTTCATCAGAAAGAATGATTCTCGGCAGACATGGGGCCCAAACAGTACAAAATAAAACCATACACCCAAACCCTAAACCTTGGCTCCATAGAACTGGCCACTTCATAAGAGGAGGCCAGATTTTGAAATGCCTCTCATCTCCCCCATATCTTTACTCTGTCCATTAAGGACTTGTAATTTTTTTCCTAGTTTCTATATGTAAAATTTGCGATTGTAGCAAATTTAAGCAAAAGACCTGTTTTTCTTAAAGACCTTTACACAAGACTTTTAAAAGGCTGTCCACGGATCCTGTGATTCACAGACTATGGTTTGAAAACTACTGCTGTGGACTGTTGGGTTTAACTCTGCAAAGCTGAATGAAAGTTTTTTGAGCTCTCAGCTTTACAGGAAAATGAATCCTGAAGACCCCTATTTCTGACACAAACCGCAGCAGCTTTGCCTTCCTAACTGTGGAGGCTAGGATCTTCCAGAGATGACAGTTCAATCCAAATGATTCAACCTGTCTCAAAGACTCTGTGGTAATCAGGACTTATCCTGATATTTGCTGATATACGCGATGTCAAATGTAAGTGGGGAAAAAAATGGTGCTGGAGCTTCAACCTTTGCATTGTATGACCTCTTGGAAGACTGAACTTCTACATTCATGTGTGTCTGCCCACTTGATGTTCTACTTGGCACATGTGCACACCTAGACATGCCTAAAATGGGCAGCATTATGGTAAGAGGCACTCCAAGAGTTTGGAAGTACCAGAAGGCAGGTTGCTCGTGCAACTTTCATTTGGCCTCTTTGCTCCCATATTACAGCCAGAGCTAGGATTACACAATCAGATGGCACACTTCTTAATTCTGCCACCTCTTTTCTCCTCCATATCTCTCCTCCCACCTCTTCTTCCCCATCCTTGCCTCATTCCTTCTCCTCTGCTGAAACCAAAATCCAACTCTTGTCTTTCTGTCTAACATCAGCTGCCCTGTGCTCTCCTTTGGCTCACTGTTTCTGCTCCCACCACGTCTGTCACCATCCATCTACTCACTCCTCCTTCCCTCTCCCACACCCCAAGTCCTTTCAGGTCTGCTTCTCCTGGTCCCCACCACGCCCAGCAATACTCCATCTCTGTTCCTCTTTGGCCAGCTAATCCCTGACCTCACCTCACCCACGCCAGCTTCCTGGCTCAGCAAGACCTGTCTCCACATCCTGGCTCACAGTCACTGATCTTGTGTTTCTCCAAGCTCTTCATCCCAGATTTTCTTCTGGCAGGTTATGCTCCCCCCTCAGCAGCCACACCACCTTCCTCCTGCTCTCTACCCACCTGACAACAGGAAAACCAACCAGAGAAACATGGTGAAAAGGCGCATTCCTCCTGACTGTTGTTTTACATTGCCCTATCCCAGTGCCTTTTCCCAATCTCCTGGCTAAGCAGGCATTGTGGAGAAAGTCTGCCTTTGCCCTCATAGCCTCAGAGCCTGCCCAGACACGTGCTCCTGGGGAAACACAGGAGCTGGAGGGTGGTGGGGTAGCTTTGGTTGTTCAGTCAGGGATGTGTGCTCAAAGTCCAGTCATGCACAGGAGTTGGGCCATGATCAGCGACGAAGGCTTTTGCTGATAAAGGATCTTTCATAAAATTAGTGAGATTTTTCAGGGGGTTACAGCATGGACACATGTTCTTCAAGGTGATAAAAGAGCATTTCCAATGCAGAGGACCTACTTTCAACTTTCCATTTTTTCTCCTGAGCCACAAAGGTGCTAGGGTTTGTCAGAAGAATTTCCAGATTATTTTTAACTTGGATAATATGATGGGTTTTCTTTGATTTGCATTTAAAATTGGTATGACTATTTTGGCTGAAATTTTATAAAAGACAGTTGACAAGTTTTCAGCTTGAGAGATTAAATATAAGTCAGAATGACAAAGAAATGAAGACATGATGTCATACTAGGAGATGGTGGACTAAGTCAGAAGTGCACTGAACAGCTGTCCCACCTCTCAGATCCAGCTAACACAGTCAGAAATGTTGTTACTGCCCAAGACCTCCAAGGGGAACCTACTTTTGGCACCCTACTGCTGCTCTGGTTTTAAAGTAGTCACCGTGTTTACTACAGAACTTAAAAGCTGTTAAGAGACATCAAATGATGACAGCTCTTCACAACAGCTACCCTGTACTGGACCTCAATAACAGACCTTTTTAGGCTCTGTGAACTTGGCAGTAGCAGCTCACTAACAGTAGAGTTCCACTCACCGAGTTTGTTTCGTGGTCCTTTGTAAATACAGACATTCATTTGGCATTCAAGACACACAAAAAAGCCAATGTACTTTACGCCTATACTATGAAATGACTCTATGCTCTCAAGGAAGGGATTTCAGGCACAGGGACTATTTGGCTTAGTTTTAGGCATTCACCATCTCAACATGTGGACAGCACTATTCCCAATACAATGCACCTACAGTGTAGTAAGCATGCGTGTTCACTTATGAGTAAGTGCCCTTGATCTCCTGAGCCACCACAAAGAATTTGGCTCTCCTGCAGTAATTCAGAAAGTAGGGGAATGCTGGCTGCATTTAGTTACAGTCTTTGAGAGTTTAAAACATTTTGTTATTTGGTCACAATTTACTGAAAAGGCACTGGAATACTTTCTCTGGAGTCTAAAGGTCTTTATTTAGTTACAAAATAGATACAAGTACAGGAGGCACAAATTACCTTTTAAGCACCACACCACAATACCTCCCATAATAAAATGGAAACCATCAGCATGGGGCGTCAGGTCATGTGAGCAACCAACTCATTAAAAAGTATGTATTTTGTGCTCTACTGAGACCACTAACAGTTTCTTCTAAGGGCTTCGAGAACAAAGCCGGAAAAGAGGCGCATGCATTGGCCTCCAATTTTAACAATAGGAGCACTGGGACTCCTTGGAAAAGTAATTTCACTTCTTTATGCTAGTTATTATTCAAAATGGGGTCAGGCTAGCCCACTTTTCTAAAATGTTCTGAGCTCTACCGAAAGCTTGGTGCAGAAAGGTGAAACATTATTGTGTAGCCTGCCCTCTCCCTGCCCAGGTTTCCCCAGTTTTTGTTGTGGGATTTTTTTTGTGGTTTGGTTTTCGTTTTTGTTTTTCCATGGTTGGTTATCCTGATTCTTTCACTCAAGCTATGAATACAGTCATCAGACAGCAAGTAATAGGTTTCAGTCTTCACCCAGATAAAGGTGACCACACTTAAAGAGTTTCTCATAATCCATCCATCATGATGCTTCTCTGGACATTGACTTCCGTGGAAGTTATTCACACAACTTCCCACACTATTTTTGAATATATACCCCCTAGAGTCCTCTCTTTTAATTGCTTTCCTGGACTGTTCTCCTCACAAATTATTTTTTCCTATAGTTAATGTTAAC